GAGAGAGAGAGAGAGAGAGAGAGAGAGAGAGAGAGAGAGAGAGAGAGAGAGAGCCATGACACATTCGGCCAGTGTTGAGCGGACCATCGACACCGCACGATCAGGCGATGACAGGGGGCCGGCGTGCTTGACGAGGCCGTACTCTGCACCCTCGGCTTGTTCGCACAACGCATTGGTCTCACTCCGTCACATAATGGCCGCAGCGGAAACCACACACATCGCGCTGCAAGCCCTGAAGACCGTACCAACACGCATCCAACTTTGGGGTTCGTCTGCGCTGTTAAGTTGCTGTACCAGCTACGACCGCTCTAGGGAAACCGTCCCCACCGAATTAGCACCTACACATGAGCTCGCAGTTGAAAATATCTTAGGCGGACATAATGTTCGAGCCCCGAGCGGAGAAACATGGTTGCCATTGCTTGCTTTCGTCAGCCCTTTCGTAAACGAAAACTCACGTGGCGAACATCCAGCTGTTTTCGAAAGTCGTGCTCCCGCAGATACGAGAAGTGACGCCGCTCTCGGGGCCTTTCGTCGCATCCTGCTTCCCGAAAATCCCGCCCAAAATCGCCTGGAAGTGCATCCACAGCTCATCGAAAGTCGGATCGTTGGCGATCGTTCCACTGAAAAAAATTCGTGCAACACCACGGCAAAGGAAGGGAAGGAAGGGGGCACCGCGGGGTCGAAGTGGCGGAGAGAAAGGCGAGGTGGTGGTACGCACCCAGCACAATCTGTACACCATTGTCGTCGCTTCGAGTGATGCGAGGTATCTGGTACACCATCACTTCGTGATGATTCCCACCCCTACCGCTGTTTCGGAATTCTGACACGCTACAGCTTCCAGACGCATGGATATCCCGCCGGGCCTTTGTGGTCGGGATCAATCGCTGTAGGGTGAAGTCAGCGGGGAGGTTGCAATCTGCACACGCCAGGACGGCACGGATCCCATGCATCCTTGACGCTTAGTAGCAATAGCAACGCCGCAGTGAGACGACTAGCTCACACTGGAGACAGATGATGCCCTCAAGTTCGCACAGGAATCGTTATGCACGGCACATGTCTGCACCCAGGTCTTGATGTGTTTTGGCTCGCGTGACGAACACAAACGACGAATGATGCATGAGCTGCCTCCCTGCCTCCTGCAGAGAGTTGTAGCGAAAACGCACGCGAGACGCAGGTACACATCGTTCCGTGCCACTCCAACTGCTGGGCGCACACACTCCGTCAAAGCCAATCGGTTGAAGTAGGAAGGAGAAATGTCCGCCTCCAACAGCTCGAGAGCATCTGCTCGCGGCAGCACCAACGTTGTTCCGCACCCGTAGTCTATATACTCCCAGGTTGCCTCGGCACGAAAATGGCCAAACGGGCACGGACCCGGCCTGCCGCATGTTTGGCGATGTATGCAGGTCATCGCCAACAAGGGCAAAAGCAACGCTGTGTGATGGGACTACTGCTGTAGCAAGTACTAGAATATGTCGACGATCGCGAACAGGCACCCACCACAGCTCCTGTGCGATAAACTGCTGCACAAAGGTGCAAGCGGGGCGTAGCTTGGATGTCTCTCCTCCGGGGATGTGCTCGCCAAAGAAAGTGTGGAGCGTTTGTTCCTCGGCTTCGGGATCAGGGAAGGACATCGCTGCGTTCAAGGCGGTGGCGCGGCTTCAACAGAGGCACCAACAGCATTGGCCGAGCACCCCAGTAGTGGCGCACTTGTGCTCCAAGTAGGCGATGCGATTGCAGGTATAACGTTGGTTGTTGGCTGTAAGCAGAGCCGACGGAGTTGCAATGGCTCGATGGCTTTATTCTGGTGAATTTTCCATCCCCGTGGTCTGCGCGACAGACAAGCGAACGGTGTTTGGATGTATGCCAGATTCTGGCTGCCCATGAGTCGGCGCTGGTCATAACTTTGTCAGTGAGGGCATGAATGGAGGTTGCAAAGATCAGACCGTAGCGGAGAGCGAAAGCAAGCGGTCATTTGATATGGGTGTCGCGAACTCTGCAATGTACTCACAGCAGTTGAATGCATACAACAGACCTCGTGTTCCTACAGACTTGTACAGCGAGGGATAGACCACGCACACGAGTTTGCAACGCAGCGACCTCACCAAAGTCTCGATGCGAGGATGGGAGGTAGACATGCATGTAGTTCAACCAGCCTCCCTTTCTGCCGAGCCCAAAACCTCAGCACGCTGTGACATGCTTTCTGCCCTGCAAAATATCGCGACAGCTGTTGCGTGACCTTGAGCAAAAAAGGTTTCATGGATTGCATGAAGTACAAAGGAATCTACAGTAGATTGCAGCCTCTACATGTTTTGCAATGTGAACAAACTGCGCAGGCCTGGTGCTCGGCAACGAAGGATATCACTTGGTTGGCCACGATAGTGCGGTATCTCAGGCACTATTAACAACTTTGGCAAGCGGCAATCAATGAGATGTGGGTGGTCAACCGAGGGTTTGGGGAGTGTGTATGCGGCTGGACGGCGTTATCATGCGGGACTGTTGTACCTCCCGGCCTACCCCCGGCAATCATTCCGCACCCCAAGGCGTGAGTGCTTGTCTCCGCGGGTCGAAAGGACAACAGTGAGTTTTTCTCTCGGGCGGCGCAAGTGCGGCCATCAAAGGGCCAGCGCTGAGCACAACGTACCTGTTAGATAGGGGCGGGGTGAAACTTCCGGGATCCTACCTTGGAACGAGCCAACACCAAGCCGCCGTTGGTCCTACCTGACCGCGCGAGCAAGCAAACCGAGGATCGTTCTCGAACACTGGACAGCAAGGAAGGTGAGACTCCAATAGCATCAAGGTGGGGGCCTTCCTTGTGGGATTCGTCCCGAGAGTGCGTGGCCGTTGCAACTCTGAACCTGGTGGGCTTCGAGAACAAGCCTCGTAAACATCAACACCAACACTGTTGGAGGTAGCCTTGTGACTCTCTTTCGCGGTCACTCACATCAATAAGGCCCAGGGAGTACAGAAGGTGAAGCAGCATGAAGTTTCGATGATTGCACAGAAAATGTTGTTGGGTGTCGAAGGAGGGCTCAAGGTATGCGACGCTCCCACCCGTGTGCCAGCGCATGCACTGTATTGGATAGACTATGCAGCTGCAAATTGGTTAGACTATTGGTGAAGGCCGTGAACTCTGCCTTTCTCAAGCCCTGTCCTGTCCCGCTGCACGTTTTGCGAGGGCAAGGGTCCACGTGACCTGCATGTACGAACATGCAGGACCTGTCTAAATGAGCCATGCCACGATCGAGATGGAATGCCGTCGAACGCGTAGCCGAGTATTGGCGAAGCAGCACTATCACCCGAAACAGGGAGGATGAAACTATTGCGCCGCTTCCGCTGTACCAATCCACATGGAGCATGAAACCAAACGGACGCTTCTTGCATAGTCTATGATATATGAATCTACGGCAGGCATTGCCAAACATGTGGGGAGTTTGCCACACAATACGCAATAGGTCCCCCGGGTTCAGGCAGCGCCCGTTGATCGTCACCGCTGTAGCCATTGCTGCGTCCAGCACGTCTGTGTTAAACAACACACGCACGCTTCCTCTTCCCAGCCAGAATGAAACCCTATCGTTAACTTCATCCCACAGACAACTGAGCACCCAAGATGGCACCGAAGGAGTATCTGAAACCGGTGGAGAAAGTGCGGAGGCGATCCAACATCTACCATTCCCCCACCTTCGGGGTGCCCATGTGGGCAGGCAGGCCCCAGCCCCCGTTGACAAGATTCGCTAGGGATGTTCGGGCCTTTCTACGGGGGAAAGGGACTGGTGGAACGGGACGCGTGGAGGAGGCGTATCCGGTGGGAGTAGCCCGTGCTAGGGAGACCGAGCATATCACCGTTGATACGATACGTAAGGTTGGAACAGTCGGCGCGATTGGGGAGGAAGAGGGGTGCTGGCAAGCTTTGGTGCGATTTCAGCTGTGCAAGACGTCGGCGGTGAGCTGCAGAACACGGTGCCATGACGACATTGTCTTTCAGCACAAAGAATGCTGCCCCGCTGTCCATGCACTAACTCCAATCCCCAGATACAAGTTTCCGCCAAGAAGAGAGCTTTGTGCGCACATTCATTTTCCAACGTATAGCACACACTCAAACCTGACGGTGGCCATATGCCGCGGGAAACCCCATACATGTGTCGGCCGGCGGGGAATCCCCAAGTTGTCAGCTCGAACGTACGGCAGTAGCAAATCTTCATGCGGAGCATGAGACAATAGTGTCAGTGACCATCGAATTCCCAAGATGTCTCCCAACAACAAGATACGATAGATTGTCTCAACGGTGACACTATTATCGAGAACCGCACGAAGTGTTTTGGCATCCGGCCGCCGTAAGGACCAGATATCCAGTCCCATGCTTGAAAATTGCCGAGAGAAGCGCGCTATACATGCTGCATTCGCATGTGCACGGCAAGCCAATAGACCCACCATTCTTATTGCACGTGGCCACGGCAATGCAGGGAATATCAGCAGTTGGCGGCGGCATCCATGCACGAAAATGGATGAACGTATTTCACTACACCTTGGCCGCAGTCTACTTACACCACGTTTGACGTCACGCATGCCGCCGTGTAGCGTGATGACCAGTCGATTTTTCAAAGGCTTGGACTCGAGGTGGGCCAGGACGTTCGCGGCGGCACCGTCGTTTCGTCAGTGGTTTCGGTCGTTGAAGGGGGCCTTCTCTCCAAGTGGAGTGTGGCTCCCGGCATGGAGGTCATCGATGATGTGAGAGCCATGGTTTTCATTCATTTCACTCTCGGCCTCGCACGACCGGCTGCTGAATCCTTGAGAGGGTGGGGGCACCATTCAGGGTATCGATCATCTTGTCTGTCATTTGCCCCTTTGGTGCATTGCCCTCGGATGGAGAAGACACTTCCAACGCTGGTGCTGGTCTATCGATGCTTCATAACATGTGCATTTGAGGTGTTTGAAATGCCATAGGCCTTGTAGCTGTGCGACATTTCCACCCAATACCTGTGCGTCCGTGCGACGACGGTATGAAACGGATTTGGGTGGTCATAGCCCGACCCCGAAAAGATGAATACGACCAGGCATGGCGCTGGCCTTCTGTGCGTGTCAGCGCCCGATGTGCCAACCCTACCTAACATTTGTTTCAGCTAGAACCTTTTAAGTCTCCAATCTTTGTTCTCGAACGTTTTGCGACATGGGCAGAACCTTGACAGCGTCTCCTTCCTCCCCCTTATTCACACGAAAACGTCTTTGTTCTCTACGGCAAATGAGTTCATATCCTGTTTCGGAGCTTGTAAATGAGGTCCGTCGCATTCGCTAGCCCAACGTGTCGACTAGAGAAGAGTATCAGTGTGGGATTTGCCCATTCTTCTTTTCTGGACTCCACGTTGTCCCCATTGGAGTGCCCCACCGTCTCCAGCGTCATCCGTCCTCTTCCTCTCTGTGGTCTCGTTTTCTTACTCCTGTGGTCTGCCATGCGCTCGGCACGCCAAACCTTCGACAATATATGTTGTTGGTGTTATACTCTGTCGTGGGGCTTGGGTTTCTTCACGAGGTCAGTCACCGTCGCCTCCGCAACGTTCACCGCAGGGGGGCAAAGGCCATGTCACAATAGCCATGGAGACCTCCTTCAGGCCTCTTGGAGATTTATCGGACGATGACGAAGAAAGGGAAGACATAAATCCTCCCCCGCCGGCGTACGTTGGAGGAATAGCATTAACTACCCACCAGGTCAGGAGCTATCCAAGGTCGAATCGACCACGCGAAAACTCGTTATTGGCGATTCACTCCTACAGTGGTGAACGGCGTGCATTACCATTCGGACACAGAAGAGGTTCACTGATATTCTTTCCGGTCACCGGAACGTCTAGTCCTACTGTAGATCATGCCATAAAAGCTACTGGTACATGCTACTCGATCGCTCTCTTTGCACCACAGCGTTGGGGTCCTGCTTGCGCATGAGGACGCTAACGCCCTCGCGGTCATTCGACCTTCCGGCCTGTGGCGTTCGGTTTCGCTCCCCACTGGCTACAGTGTCATAAATCGTTTGCCAACATGCTCCTGTCCATGTACTTCACGGCGAATGAAACTCTTCTGGAGGGCGCCTTTAGCTACAAGACGGACGCCGAGCTCTTACCCCCCTGCGGCAAAGCCGAGCGGACAGCCCTCGCAGCCAGGAAAAAGGCGTTCCTCGACAGCCTTCCCGGCAAGCTTGGGCTTGATGTGATGGGAGGGGAAGAAGGTCAAGGGCGCTCGGGGTTGATTCAGGTTGGTTGCCACGAGTCGTGCTGCTTGTCGGTCGTGGCTGGCGTACGTTGAACGTATGCCGATGCCGAGCTTCATTTTCCACAGCCATTTCTTTCATTTCTGCTAGCACTCAGGTATAGGCCTTACTTGCGACACCACAAGCCGTACTTGGTGATGGCCTAGTCGATAACAACAATGAATCAATGTTCCAGGTCACTAGCGTGACACCCGAGTCCCTGGTGGACTTTTACGGCGTGCGGGTCGAAGACACTATCGTGGGCATAAACGGGTACCCCCTGATTCGGCTGTCGAGGGCTGGGTGAGTACGACTATGAGCGTACGGCGAAGATTTGGCTAGCACGAGTATCAAGCATTTGATGGTGCATGATCCTGGTAGAACAGTTGTCTGACCACAACAACTGTTTCTGGAATGACTGTGTTTCAAACATTATTCTGTGGCGAAGTGCCAAACTACGTGAACAGTGCACCGCTGAAGCCAACCAAACAAAGCGTCGGGGCGCCGCTTCTTTTCTGGGGGGCTTCGTGTGCAATGATGGTGTTGAAAATTCCGAGAACACGCTTGTGTTAGTTAGTGGGAGGATGATGTGTGTCTACCGTACCGGATATTACTTCTGCGATTTTTTTCCTCAACAGCTTTCAGGTCCGGACATGTCCGCATGAGCCGTTCTTGTTCCTGTTCACTCGAACGATATGGCACGCTGGCGTGCAAGGAAGTGGACTACGAAAAACTGTATACTGGCCTCATCGTTGCTCGTCGTTCGCCTCCTTTTGTTGATTCCTAAACCAACATTGTGCATCGCGTTCACCCGCCCACATGATCCGCTGAAGATTTCTCGGAAAGGTCGCCAAGGCTCTTACCACATGCGCTTCCGGGACTCCGAGCGGTGGTGTTCTGCCACTCTTCCTCGTCCGCAAGAGAAGTCGCCTCCACTTCTCACGAAAGCGCAGATCTCTAAAACAGAGCCTCTCCAAGCCCCTCGCGCCCCTGGGAGGCGAATGGGGTGCCCGCGGCTCCGACCCGCCCCCTCCGGGTGAAGAAAGCGCCGCGCCCGCAGACAAGGGCAAGGGGCAAGGACCGACAAAAACACTACAAGGTCAGCCAGGTGTTCCTGTAGGCCTCTGTATAATCCGGCGTCGTCCTGCCTGGTCGTTTCTTCTTCATCACTGAGTCACCTCGATTGAACTGTCACATCCAGGGAGACACTGGTAGGGTAGTCTTCTTGGCGCTCTTAGAGTAAACAGTGATGAAGGGTCTCAAAATATTGATGAGTTTGCCGTTCGCCATTCCGAAATCTCTTGCCGAGGTAGTGAACATATCCCCGGCGGATGGAAAAACCGCTGCTTCGTGGCTTGCTCAAACTGAAGTGCGCAAATGAAAATTGTACGGCTGGTAGAAGCGTGAGACAAGGCGCAGCATACTCCTCCATATTGCACCAAATCACTCACTACCACTCTTATTCACTCTTCCCGCTCGGTGAAGCCCCACCTATGTACGTACCTCTTCGGGGGGACGCTGTGACGTTGGAATCAAAGTTGATGGCTGCGCAGTACGATGGGCATACCTCCCCCACCCTCCGACCCAAGGGTTCCGTGTTGATGTTGCTGCAGAGAGCGCCCACATAGTGCGGAGGCGTAATTCGCGGTGCTTCCGTCTTCGAACGTGGTGCACGGCACACTGCTTCAAGAGTCGCTTCACGTCCAACCCCTGCCCTCCGGTGCCTCTAGAGGTGGGACGAGGCGTCACCAATGGATGCTGTCCCCCAGATATCGGTGGAGGCGGCAGCGGCGGCAGCGGCTGCGGCGGCGCAGGGACGCGCCGAACGGAAGGAATTGAGGAAGCGGCCACTCTGGTGGGACAAACGAGCGAAAGGATCAACCCTGTGCATCCTGAGGCTCAGACCAGCGAAGGCCGCAGAACGCCTGAATCCCGAGCGACGGGTGCAGGAAGACCAAGGGTCACGGGGCCACGTGCCAGGTAAGGAATTAGACGTTGCGTTTGCATGCGTGGTCATGTTGGATTTCCGACCGGTCGGAAGCGAACTTCATACTTCCAAGAAGCGCAAAATGAGCATGACTTGACTCTCGGTGTTACCCTCCTCGAAACCCCTGTGAAATGTTTTCGTGGATATTGTCTCCAACTTCTGTCTCGGTGTACACACATCGTTGCGCGTGCACCCTGATCGGGTGAGCTGTGGCCAAGAAATCTTGCCGGTACGAGGGAGATGAACACGATGCTACAGACACTTTCGCACATGGTGCATTTCAGAACGCGGTACTTGTGGGAGCGACGATCAGAAAAAAAACTTCAGCAGCAGATTAACTGTAAAAAAACAAAGACAACAGCGTAGCATAGGATCGGAAAGGGGGCCGCTTTTTTGTATCATTTCTCGAACCCCACCCGGGAGTCACTACGTCTCGACCGCGATCGCCATTTTCTGACATTCGCCAACGAACCCCGCATGCAGGTGAGCCCATGCTCCCCGGAGCCTTCCTGTCTGGCGCTCTCCAGATTGGTGCAATGGAAGTTCCGGCGGGAGCGCAGCTTGTCTCCGTTGGCAATGTGTGCTGCCGCACCGTGCCCTTCGAGCGTGTGCTACAAGTGGCCACCAGCGCCGGCAAAGGCGAGGACATTGCTTTCGAAGTTGTCTGACCATCCCCTCCAAGACCTGGAAAACGAGGTTCCTGGAGTTCGATACGTGAAAGGTGATGGCACCAGCGGGTGCTACGTGGCCTAAGCACGGCTATGTGTTTCCTAACCGGATGTTTGGTCACAACCCCATTCTTCTGGTGCTACTGTATACACCTTTCGCCCTGGCGGTAAGACTTTCACTCACTGCTACGGTGTGGCACGGTGGAGGGTCGCCATTTCCGTATCGCAGAAAGGCCTACGCTTTACCATCGAAGTGTAACGACTGTGACCTTTCTTCGAAGCACCTGTATCTATGAAAGAAGACTCTCCACCGTAGATATTCTGTACTTGTACCAAAAAAGGATGTTGATTCTAAGGCTTTCCCGCGTAGAAGTATATGCAGCAAGTGGTTGTTGATTCATTGTACGAAATTGCTTGTTGAACTGTATGAAAATGGGTCGTTGATTCATCGTACGAAATTGGTTGCAGCGTTGTACGAAATATGATTGATGATTTCCATGTAGTAGTAGGCTTCGCGAGTTTGAGTGTAGTAGTCGAAACGGATTGTAGTGTAGAGGGTGCAGGACCACGTTCCTGGAGAACCAGACGAATTGATGATTATCTCAAGTTACCTGCATGCCCCAATAGAGTACTTGTGTTATGCAATGGACAAAATATAGGCCCATAAACGAGCAATACTTGAGGTGGAGTAAGGTGGGGAGTGTGCCGAGCGAAGTGCCATATGTTCACAAACAAATGTTTTGTTCGTCTGTTCGAAGCATCGACCCGAGTGCTTACCACAATGAATGAGGTACGAGTAGAGGAGGTCGAGTGAAGCTAAAGTTTAATGTAGCCCAGAGGTAGAGAGAGCGATACTGGGGGCGTGCCCCAGGGATCATTCATGTGCTGTGCGACGGGTATATGGGCACAGAAGTATTTCGAGGAGAAGAAAACCGAAGATGTTACTGCGAGTGACGAAGCACTTGGAGTAGTGTATAATTCAGCCATACACCTGGTGACCGTCGGCCTGTTGGTGTAGGTGGCTTGCTAACTAGTTGTATGGTGACCTAGGCGTCCAAGATACAGTCTTTTCGGGCTGCAAAACATTTTCGGCAGACAGGAACTACTTTCAAGCTTCTCCAATGGACAATGGTTTGAGACGCACAAGCAGCAGTAGCAGTGAAAATCCTGGGAAAGGAATGGGGGCATTACAATCGAAACGCAGTTTAGGGAAGTGAACGTGTTCTCAATGGTGAATTAGGACCTATTGTGGAATGTGGTATTCTGTTGTGTTGAAGGGTACATATTATCATTTCATCGGGGCTTGCATATTTTGGAGAAATATTCTGTAGTGAGAAAAATGTTTTTCTGCGAAAATCGCGATTGAAGCTGGGGAGCACATGGTTCGATGTAACACCTATCGGCGGAGTGAGTAGGGTGCAAACAATCATTGTTGTGACGCGGTAAGGCCTTCATAACATGATTCACAGCGGTCTGAGCGATGAAGTGGTGCTGGGTGCTTCACCTTCAGCGTGTTTCCTTGCGCATTGTCTTCGTTAGGTCCTTCACCAGCGCCATACTTACCTTGGGCTGCAGTTTTGATTGTCTTGCTTGAATTAGATGATTGGTGTGAAGTTTTGCTTCCAACGTTGCCGGCTATGGAGGAAGCGACGCCTAGAATTGAGAATTTCATAACATTCTTGCCCGGGTAAATAAACGCCAACACCATAGCACCGATGGTCACCATCACTGACACCTACGCAGCAAAGGATCTGCGTAAAACTCGAAATGATAACTGCATGCCACCGACCCGACACCTGACTACCAGGGCGAGCGCAAGGTCAACCAAGTCGTGCTTTTTCGGTCACGGGGAGAGAGTGAACTATAGAGGACACCATCCATTACAGAATCGTTAATTCTTTACGAGTATTAATGCTTATCTTGCATTTCCCCTTCATCCCCTCAATGTGTGGGCCGAGACTGGCGTAGTTTAAGTGGCGGATGAGATGTTCCCGACAACGATATGAATTATTCACACCACGCTTCACAACCAATTGCAACGGGCCTCAAGGTCAAACGTTGTGTGTCATTGGATAACATGTTTCGCTACTCCCAGATATTTGTATTTTCCGGACTGTTCACCCCAACCCTACCCAACCCACCTCCGACGCTACAGAGTATGTTCCCGACTCGGACCGCAATGAACGAACCGCCCTAGGGGGAAGGAAGGTGTGTAGTTCGGGCGCGCATCGAAATCGTTTGTGAAAATGTCGTGCAGGCAGCGGTAGTGTGAATGAGAGATTCTACAGTAAGGTGTCTCCTGCCGGTCTTCCCCAATAGCGGAGTCGGTGTTTCGCAAGTCGCGCTTGCGGATAGAGTGAATGAAGTGCCCTTTTTTCAGGTATGCTGCAATGTCTACATGTAGAAAGGTCTGTGTTACAGACCACATCAGCAGCCGCCATTGTATTACAGAAAAAGAAACGTTGGCTCAGGTGGGCTCATGAGCGGTGTTCACGCAGCAAGCAGTTGATGATTCACAGTTCTTGCGAGAAATCACTGCAGACTACACTATCGCCTTTCGTGTTCCAACCACCACACACAGAAGTAAATAGTGCAAATGGTGCACCGGAAGCAACCTACTTTTGCTGCAACTAAGGGCCGTTTTAAACGGACCGACTTTTTGTCAAAAATTTTGAACGTGTCCAAAAAATGGAACCTGTATGTAGGCGTTTGTCCATTTTTTTCTAAAATATTTGGAACGAAGTTGGGCGCGAAAACTTTGCTCCACTTCGTTCCAACTTTTTGACAACCCTCTCAAAGTATTTGGAGCACTTTCCAAAGTACCCTTGCAGAGGCACGCGAGGGCTGCTGCGTCTGCACCACGAGTGCCCCTCACCGTAGAAAGTCAGCTAGGGTTGTGTGTGAGTCATCTGTCGCTGTCGCTATTGCTATCGTCGCTGTTGCCAACGTTGACGATGCTGTCTGCTGTTGCTGTGTCGTCCGAAAAACGGCGGTCCGCCATGATGGCTTGCAGTTGTTGCTTCGCGTCCGCCGCTTTGTTTTTTCCTTTTCCCGGGGGGGTAGGAGCAGTGGTTGCCACCCCTCGCCGGCGG